TGAGGTATTCCCCGTTAGGAGAATGAGTGCACTCAGGGAAATGTAGTGAGAGTGATGTTGAATAACACACAACCAGCATACAGATACACTGAATAGTAAAATGTAGGTTTTACTTCCAGTAAACGGGTAAACAAAGTCCAACAAACAGTCCAAATCATACACGGTTAAAGCAGTTAGTATCAGTCCAGGGATAATCCAAAAACGAAGTCAAGTATCATAAACAGAGTTCAGTAAACGGAGTTTGCTAACAGTTGCAAGACTCACAGCAATCTGAGCAGAACGACGGATCAGGCAAAATGGCAATATAGGAAATGCAAGGAGAAAAAAACAGATTTCTGGCTCCATCTTATGGCTGTTGGAGGAACCACATATCTCCACCTTTCAGAAGATGTGCTCTAAACAGTTTACGTGTAAGTTGTATGTGTGCACCTACAGTGTCTCTTCAAATTCTCCCAACACCTAGCAGCAGACTCCTCTCCACAAATATAGACTAGCTGCTGGTCACTCAGTGTTAGTCCAGTTATACAAAGAGCTTGTTCGTTGTTAAAGTCAGCTAACTTTTTGGCATTGTCCTCCTTATTTGGATCCCAAGCATTTACATCCAGTGGATCCTGAACTGCAGCCCATAACCCTTCCCTTCGCAGAAGTAGACTGCACTTCATAGACGAAAACATAGATTGTTCCATCCAACCGGGTTATCAGTGATAGACTTGTTGACGGGTCTTGTGCCATCTGTTACTGCCATCAGGACAGTAACCCACAATTAAACAGCTGTCTGTATACGGTACTGTGTATTCACACTAACTCTGTTATCTGAGTCTGGGCCCATAACCAGTGTTGAGGTATTTCCTGTTAGGAGAATGAGTGCACTCAGGGAAATGTAGTGAGAGTGATGTTGAATAACACACAACCAGCATACAGAAACACTGAATAGTAAAATGTAGGTTTTACTTCCAGTAAACGGGTAAACAAAGTCTAATAAACAGTCCAAATCATACACTGTTAAAGCAGTTAGTATCAGTCCAGGGATAATCCAAAAACGAAGTCAAGTATCATAAACAGAGTTCAGTAAACAGAGTTTGCTAACAGTTGCAAGACTCACAGCAATCTGAGCAGAATGACAATCAGGCAAAATGGCAATACAGGAAATGCAAGGAGAAAAAAACAGGTTTCTGGCTCCATCTTATGGCCATTGGAGGAACCTCAGCCAATCACACTTACAGCATTCTCTTAAAGATACAGTATTAAATTATTATCCTGATTTATATATTGCCAACCCAACTGTTAGGTTACTATCATTCCCAACAGTGTGTATGGGAAAAATGGGTTTGTAAGTGAACCTTGTATTGGCTTAAAGGTGTGGAACTATGGCCATGTTTTATGACTTGTGGACTTCAACTCCCAGAATTCCTGAGCCAGCATGGCTAGCTCAGGAATTCTGGAAGTTGAAGTTTCCAAGTCCTAAAATGGGCCATAGTTCCACACCCCCTAGCTTAAAGCGTGTTTTGTATTCCAGGACTCAGATCTTTTTGGTATGCAAGTTCTGGACTGCCTGTGATAATCCCTATGACTAACCACACGTTGTATTACTAGGTTAAGGATTCTAATAAAAATGTTCAAAAGATATACATTATAGTATGTGAAACACTGCAAGATTTCAAAAGTAAGTTATTTTTCTTTAACAATTTGGACACATTGATTTGATCTTTCAGAGCAAACTCAGAAATGTGTGTAGGTGGCAATTTTCATGCAGGAATCCATCACTCTTCAAAACAATATCACATTTATATATGAATCATCTTGGTAAACAAGCTGGGAGTATTGATGGTTTTATGTCTTTTTATGATTCATTTTGCAGATACTTGTATTTGACATTTTACATGGATTCCATTGTTTTGTAGGGCGTATCAGTTTGCTTTATTCAGACCAGCATACTAGGCAATATACTTCTAGAGTTACATAGGCCAGCTTCTTAGCAGAGCACATTTTTTTAAAAAATGTGCAAGAACATTGAATATTAACAATTGGGAATTATAGTTGGCCTTGCAATAGGACATGATTTTCATGTGAAAATACTGTGCCTAAAATATCACTGAAGACAGATACTATCTGTCATAGATTCCTCTATGATCATTAATGTTGTTTGGTAAGGTCTTACATAAGATAATCTTCCAGAAATTAATAAGAACTTGGAGTAATACTTCTTTAGTGGTTATGCTGATGTGGAATTTCCATTAAGGGAAAATCAATCAACCAAAATTTGTATTTCTGAGCAGGCAGCGCAAATTTGGCACTGCAAATGTCAGCAATCCTTTGTATCTGTCTTGGACCAAGATGAACTTTTTACACTGTGTTACAATTTGCTATTAAATAATGGTTTTGAGAGTTGTGCTGTAGAAAAGCTTTTTCTGAGTTTTATAGAAACTTATATAGAAAATATATTGGGAAGATTGTAATTCTTTTTTGTTGTTGTTCCAACTTCACAGTTGGCACACATTCTAAACTGCCATGCATTTTTTGCCATTTATGCTGCAGAAATTATGTTTTTAGTCTGCCTTATTACATAAGGGTTTTAGTATATCTGGAATATTGTGCATTGAAACTGGTACAGTAATTTTAGAACAATCTTATGTATGTTAATTGGGAAGCCCAACCACAGTCATAACATATAAGCGCATATAAAATTGCAGACTAAATGCTTCAGTTGGAATTTATTATGCAGCTTCTAGATAACTATAAAACAGAAATTGCATTGACATGGTGGACATCAAGGTTTACCGATCATAAATGTGCAACAATTTTGCATTTTTGGAAAGAGGAGTGGATTATAAGGGTGGGCTGCATCATGTGGACCTTTCTCCAAGTTCATCGAAGGGTAATTTAACTGCGAAATAAAAGCTTTTATTAAAACATTTTATCCTTTTTATTAGTTAAATAATAGTTGGATAAATCTGTTGAATGTTTCTAAGAGTGCTTTATGTTTTGGTCAGTGCATGGATTGTTGTCACATATATGTGCACCTCATAACTGAATATTCATGGGAGCAAAAAGAAACTTGACATTCCATTCTCTCCACTATCTGTTGCCTTTTGCTCTTTCACAGTTAATTTACAGCCATTCCATCAAGTTGTAGAGTAAAAAAAGAGAAGCAAGGCTATTCCATTGCCTTTGCTGAGAAACCCAGACTTCTGAATAATACTTTCCTTTATTAGCTCTGGGTTGGTAACTCAAAAGGATATGTTTAAAAGAAGAACTAGTTACAGAATGGGGATTTATTTCCATAAGCTTCCACCTCATGACAGAGTGGGCTATTGCTAATGATCGCTGTAAAATAAGTACACTAACTACATACAGTGTTATTTTTCCCTACTCTTGAATGTTTCACTTGATTCTTCTCTGTGTAAAATGGAGATAATTGAAAACAAATTCTCAGTGTGTTATCTAAATGACATTGCATTATCTAAATGATGCCTGAATATTTAAAATGACATTGAGACAGAACTCCCTGATAACATCATTAATGTGGTCTTAAAAATCTTTAAAATACAAGCAAAACAGTTGCTGAAATAGTGTAATGATTTATAAGTCAAACCCAACATTTTCTATTTGTTAAATTTATAACCTGTCTTTCTTCTAAAACCTGTACACTTCATATAGCATGATCTCCTCTCATTGTTTCCTCCCACAGTTACAGTACTATGGATTAGTCTTGTAGGAGATGGAAATTGGCTCCAAGGCAGCCATTCTCTGGCTAACAATGGACTTGATCCAGGATCTTCATCACCCTAATTCTACACGTTAATCACTGCCCAGGGTACTACTGTGATAACAGAATAACAGTTGGGGGGGACCTTAGAAGTCCCACCGCCTGCTCAAGCAGGAGACCCTATATCATTCCAGAAAATTGGTTGTCCAATCTCTTCTTAAAAGCCTCCAGTGATGGAGCATCCAAAACTTCTGAAGGCAAGCTGTTCCACTGGTTAATTGTTCTCACTATTAGGAATTTTCTCTTAGTTCTAGGTTGCTTCTCTTTGTTCAGTTTCCATCCATTGCTTCTTGTCTTGCCTTCTAATGCTTTGGAAAATACATTGACTCCCCTCAAATATTGGAACATTGCTATCATGTCACATGTAGTCCTTCTTTTCACCAGACTAGACAAACCCAATTCCTGCAACCGTTCTTCACATGTTTTAGCTTCTAGACTCCTAATCATCTTGGTTGCTCTTTTCTGCACTCTTTCAAGTGTCTCTGCATCTTTTTTATAATATAGTGACCAGTAGTAATCCAGTATTCTAAGTGTGGTCTTACTAAGGGTTTATAAATTGGTACTGATACTTCACATGAACTTGATCCTACCTATCTGTTAATAACCTAGTTGTAATGTGGAATGTATAGATGTAATGTGGGTTTTAAGGTGTAGAAATTAATACCTAAAGATTCTAAACTGAGTGATTTTAGGAGATGAATGCAATTAATGTATCGCTAGTTTTCCTCCTGTTTTTAAATTAGGCTTGCGAAACTCTTTCCTGCCCCTCTTCTAAGCAAGGAAATATATATGTTCCATTACTAGAATCACCAACTGTTTATTTCCTATTTGAAAAATCCATCTCTGATGGAAATTCTTTTGCAGTGTGGATAAGATAGAGTATTGGATGAATTTGCTCCTGACTGGACTTTACTCAGTAATTTATCATATGGTGTGTCATAGTTCTCCGAGAAGCTCTGAGAAATGAAACGAGTAAAACAACATCTATGGGGGAAGTGCAAAAGACAAAAATGTTTGGACACAGTATAGGATTATAGCAGTAAAATGAAGCCTACCACGTTCACTGATAGGCCGATAGGACATAGTGGCAAAATTCTTTGTGAATCAGATTTTTAATATTTATTTTCAATTAGTCACAAGAGGGACATATTTGAATATTAAATTTGCTTAAAAGGGGTTATTAATACATGAAACACCTTCTCTTCTGAATCAATAAATATGTCTTTACTTGTAGGGAGAGATGAAACCATGCAGGCTGTCAGACCATCTTTCCTTGACTATTTTGAGCAAAAGGAAAAAGAGAATTGGCAAAACAACTATGGAAGGCAGGTATCTGAAAGATGTTCCTCAGATTGGAGAGTTCCTCTGGACGGTGATTATGAATTCGTAAGTAAAATACTTTTGATCTGTTGCACAATTATAATTTCTTCTGTTTTTACTGATATGGAAAGAAATGCAAGCTTGAAAGAAAAAAAAAGACAACACTTTAATATTTAAAAATGTAAAGAGTGTTTATTTAAAGCATATAATTTAAAAACATTTAGAATGCAAATAAAATGAACATATTGTTCAACATGATTATTTTCTGGTTATATTATGGCTAAATAATTCAGTTACTGTGAAAATAACACACAGATTGTCCTTAACTTACGTCCACAATTGAGCCTAATATTTCCATTGCTAAGCAAGGCAGTTGTTGTGAGTTTTGCCCCAGTTAAGGTAGTAAAACGGTTGTTAAGTGAATCTGATTTTCTGAATTTTCATTGACTTTCCTTGTCAGAAGTTTCCAAAAGGAGATCGCATGACCCGAAGACACAGAAACCGTCATAAATACATGCCAGTTGCCAAGTATCTGAATTTTGATCATGTGACCAAGGGGATGCTGCAGCAGTCATGTGAAAAACAATCATAAATGACTTTTGTCAGTGCTGTTGTAACTTTGAATGGTCACTAATTGAATGATTGTAAGTCAAGGAGTACCTGCATAACAATTGGTTGCTAAATGGCTACCATTATTATGGCCACTGTTGTTATGGGATCTATTTAGGGGATACTTTCTAGACCACAGGTATCAAACTTGTGGCATCATGTTGCTGTCGTGTGACATTTTGTGATGTTTTCCCATTTCTGGAGCTGGAGTGGGCGTGGCCTGCGCGTGATGCATCCAGTCCACGGACCACCAGTTTGACACCCCGTTCTAGACTCTATCCTATAATACCGTGATGGCGAACCTATGGCAAGCGTGCCACAAGTGGCATGCAGAGCCATTTGTCCTGGCACGCGAGCTGCAGGCAACTTACCTCACTGTGCATGCACATGCCTCACAGCTGATTTTTGGCTGGTTTGAGGCCTTTTTCAACCTCCCAGAGGCTTCGGGAAGGCTTCTGCAGGCTTTTCAGGACAAAAACTAGGCCCATTTTGTCACTTCCTGTTTTTCTAGAAATAGCGGAAGTGATGAAATGGGCCTAGTTTTCACCCTGAAAAGCCTGCAGAAGCCTTCCTGAAGCCTCTGGGAGGCTGAAAAAGGCCTCAAATGGCCGAAAATCAGCTGTGAGGCGCAGTGCAGGTAAGGGGGCGGTGAGAGGGGGTGGATGGGCAGGTGGGGATTGCACTCGTGGGTGTGTGTGCGCATTGCCTTCTGGGTGCTGGCACATGAGCGCGACCGTGCAAGCGCTCACAGTTTTTGGCACAGGAGCCCCAAAAAGTTAGCCACCACTGCTATAATACATTTTGAAAAGATGCAAAAATAAGAGGACCTAAATTTAACTGACTTGGTTTGTTTGGGCTGTTACAGTGTTATTTGTCTTATATGAACTAGTTTTGATTAAAACCATTTTCTTCAGGCAAATGAACCTGAAGCTATAGTAAGCATCTTGTTATTGAGAGGTAGATTTTTAGCGAGTGTTTCTTGCAGCATTTTAATGCAATCTTTCTCTGAATCATTCCTTCAAGCCATAGTAAAGACAGAGAAGTGGACCAAAACAATCATTAGTTCTCTCTATTTGTCTTCTAAATATTGTTTAGCAGCCCTTCCTATCAGACTGCAGCACAGGGAGAATTCAGAAGCAAGCTTTTCTGGAGCATAATTGACAGCCCAGAAATATTTGACTCTTCTTCTTTTTCAGCTGATTGTAAGATTGACAACTTTGGCTTTTTAAAGCTAATTTAGATAGTTGTAACAAGAGCTAAGCACAAATGATCCCGGACCTGGAGTTAGTTGCTTTCCATTTCCTTCCCCGTTCTTTCTTTTCTTTCTTTCAGCCCATTCTTTTTAGATAGTAAACTTGAGGTCAGAGGCTGTCTCTTGTTTTTATTGATTTGTAAGCTTTCTGGGAGTCTTTGTGGCTGAAATAAAGGCATGAATGCCATAAATAAATAATTACTTTGACATTGACAGAGCTTGGAAAATCATCCTAATTTTGTGTGTACTCTTGATAGAATGTAAGAAGTTGGTGTAAGAAATTAGATCTGTGTTGACTAGCTAAATGCTTAAGAATCAGAATAAGATTATTGTGATGCTTTTGACCCTTTAGATTTTATGTGGATAAATTTATTTTGTGAACTGCAGAATTTATTCTGTATATTAAATCAGATTTCTGGTTGCTCAGACTATAATTTTCATTTACACTTGGGCAGATACCTTTTCATCTGCTCCTCCAGACCAGGGATTTTACTTAGAACTTTTGCATGAAAAATCCAAGCATCTCTTTCAGAGTCATGTGCCTTTCTTAGAGGTGTCATTCATCACTTAGTGCTCAACTTTTAAAAACAGAATTCTGGTTGACCTAAACTGTTACTGAAAGAAATCTGTTGTTTGAGATGTAACCATGTTCTTCTTATATTATGTATACCACTTCGGTGGGAAGGTAACAGCATTCTGTGCACCTTTGGCGTAATGCCCTGCTGGCCACATGATCCCAGAAAATTGTCTTTGGACAACACTGGTTCCCTCGGCCAAGAAACAGAGTTGAACATTGTGGCCTGAGTCAGACATGATTGACAGGAAAACCTTTACCTTTACTTTTTATAGCTAATAGCTAAAGAAATATCCACAAAACTTTAGCAGGAGAATTTGTAGGTGATAAATGTTGGATGGAAGAGTTCTGTGTATAGAATTATTAGTTACAATAATGAAGAACACTTGTAATTTAATAACAAGGCTGTAGTAATTTAATCGCAAGGCTTGACCAGCATTATATCAGGTTATGCAATTAGTGACACTAATTGCACAATCTGATATAATGCTAGTCAAGCCTTGTGATTAAATTACTACAACCTTGCTGTTTTGAACAAATTATTTTACTTTACTACGCTTTGTTGATAAGTGTTTCCTTCCCATCTTTCCTAAACTGCTCAGATTTTTATAACACAAAAAAGTTTTACATTGCATTTCTGATTTGCTTTAAATCTCTGTAAGATTATTTGCCCTACTCAAGTTTCATTTTTAAGTTGGGAGATGTCAAAGAGATGTAAGAGAATTGTGAAACTCAGTGCAGGTTTACCCAAAATAGTAATGGAAAAAGATACTCATTATGAATATTCATTCTTAGATGTGTACATGAACTTGGAAACTATAGTTATTATCTTATTACCTTAGGTTCTGTTTAATAAAGTTAGCTTTAACACATTACTTTTTTCATTTCATTTCCCTCAGTGTTACCTGACAAAAATATTTTTGGTAAACACCATTGAGAATAACTACCTTCATTTGTAGCCCTTGAAGCACATTAAAGACTACTGGGTGTTCTTTTATTACATTTCATTAATTAAAAAAAGTAGTTTCCTTTGATTCAATTTAAGCTCCTAGACATTTTTATGTAGTTCTATTGACAACAGTACAGGATTTGTTTGCTATTAATCTAAGCCTTTTTTCACAATCATTTTTTGACTTTTCATTTAGCTTTCAACTCTGAGGTTTCCTGGAGATTTCCACAAAAAAAATCAGCAAAGTCAGTTAGATGCCATCAACTAGCAAATTCAAGTATTTTTTATTACAGGTCTGTCCTGAGTCCAAAGAGACTTTTTTTCTGTGATATACTAAACCTTATTTTAGCAAAAGAGACTTCCCCCCATGATATACTAAACATCATTTTAGCATGTCATCTTATAACTGAATTTTCTGTTTACATAAATGCTGTAAATATTAGACACCTTCAATGCTACAGATTACTTTTTAATTTGCCTTTAACAACAAGTATTAAAATACTGGTTCAAGTGCACAAATTCAGCACTGGTCTGGTGTTTCCTGTGTCAATGCAGCACTTCAGATTTGAAGGAGATATGTGGCTTTGGATTACAGGGCGGCACCCCTATTGCATCTGTCAGCTACTGCTTTAGGAGAGGCATTCTTTCTTCTGGGTTGAATGGCTGCCATCCACGGCTGCTACACGGCTTTAAGGAATTGCTGAGACATGCCAAGTGCCATGCTCTGAAATACATGTTTCTTTCTGTGTAGAGAGCCATAGAAACGGCCTTGAAGGGAATATACAGAAGCAACAAGGGCAGGGACATTCTTGAAGCCCGAGGGAAAGGAGATATTGTTGGGAAGAGACTTGAGTGACTCATTCCTGACTAAGCAGACTAGCAACAGCCTATGAGAACAGCAGTTCTCGCCATCCCATGGGGCCAATTTTCGATCTAGTCTAGCTCATAGAGCTACTACTTCAAATCCAATGCTTGTTTGTAGTCGTAGTGCTACCCACATTGAACATTGTAAAGCTAAGGTACAGTTGATGTTTTTAAATGCACAGCAGTTATTTTAAAAAAACAGTCATTCATGCTCTTATTTTACAAAATATTGAAAGCAGTGTATATGTGCTGAACATTTACATATTCCATTTTTATTTACTAAATCAATTTAAGTGTCCCTGCATCTTGCAGGTGTGGCTTTGGGCAGCTAAGAACACATTATAAACAAGAAATCAATCTTAACAAAGCATTAAAAAAAAAAACCTGCCGTGATCATTTAGTAGAACAATAACATCCCATGGTAGCTAACCTCCAATTTTGATGCCAGGTCTTCAGTCCTTTGCAAAAGGCGAGTAGCATCAGGGCTGGTGACCAGTCATAGGATTCATTGCAGAGAATTTAGTGCTTTAACATTTGAGAGAACAAATATTACATCTAACCAACCCAGGTCCCTAGATTGCCTGTAAAAAATATTGAATAGTGTTTGAGTCTTTATAGGTTTTTAATATATTGTAAACTTCCAGGCTAAATTATGCAGATTTTTTATATTAGATCGTTAAATAATTCTTGTGTCCCTACTAGTTTCTTCTCCAATAGTAACTCTAAAGCTTTTCCTAGCCCTACTACGTCAGATGCTGAAGGCCAAGTTTTGAATCTTTAGTATGCAGTGTGTTTTCTGTAGAAAACTTTTACAATAG